GAATTTTTTTATTTGCGGATATAATTATGAATCATTCCCTTTGGTTTCAAATAACTTTTACATTTAAATAACTAAACTTTTAATAAGCAAATCAATATTTTTAAATTCGGTTATATAAATTGATAACAAAAACAGCAGTTCGTCCATATGCATGACTGATATGGAATTATCAAACATTTCTATTTTTGCTATTATTCCATATAAAACAGAATGTATAATCTAATCAGTCAATCAAATACCTTATTAATCTTTCTCTTGTTTGGGTGAATCCTTTTCTAGAGTATCTCCTAAGATTTTACCTTTATTTTATGATGAAGCACTGGATACAACAGCAATTTGTGTTCTTAATAAAATGAAAATGCAAAAAAGTGATGAAAACGTTAGTGTTGTTGAAATCTCTCCATTTAAATCCAATATGACAATTTCATAGCTGTTGTTTAAAGATATTAATTGTGAAACTTGTGATAATGGATTATTATATATTCAACTTAAAGAAAAGCACAGCTATTTAGATATTAAATCGCTCAATGTTGAAAGAAATTAATGTGGAAAATCCAGCTGTATTAATATTATTAATAATATGCAATCACGTCGTAGGCTCTAAAAATTAATTCCTTTTGTTAATAGCAAAAATTACTAGGTAAATTTATTAAATTATATTTGTTAAAAAAACTAAGGTTATGAAGGTACATGTTTAAGAATATAAAATATAACGACGTTGATCATTTCTTCTATCCTATAAAAAAATATAGCTGCTAACAAAGGAGGAGCAATTTTGGTTATTGGAATAGAAGATTTCTACATAGAACAATCAATATTATAGGATAATAGGGCTAATATTGGAGGTGGGATATTTATGACTGATTAAATGAATTAAAACATGACACTTTTAGGCTCACTAGTTTAAGATAACATTGCAAAACTGTATGGAAATAATGAAGCGTAAATACCTTCTTAATTGGCTATTTCTGTAGATGCTGTGAACTATCTACCAAAAATTAAAATACTCTAAACAGAAAACTTAGTAATTGAATAAATACACATAAAGAAATATGAAGTTTTTAGGAATGTATTTTCTGATACTCTCTACTTTCCGAACGGACAAACAGTTTCAGATTATAAATATTTTGATTGGTAGAAGGAGCAATATTACCCTTACAATTTGCATTTAAGAATAGTAGCACTAGATCAATATGATTCTATTATCAACAATTTACAAAAAACATCATGTTCAATCAAAGGTAGACTACTTGATGATGAATTAGAAAGACTATTCACAAACAATTTTACAAACCAAGAGAACATTGAATTTGGGTATAAGGACTATAATTTGGATTAACTGATAATATATTTAGATGATGAATTAAATATGACTTTGCAACTTTAATTTAACTGCAGTTCAATTTTTATACCAATAAGAGGTGATAATAAATAAATAGAGTCATATCATCAAAATTATTATTTGAGAATGAATGTCAAGACATTACCATGTCAACTGGGTGAAATTAAAAAGACTTCAAATAAAATCTGTGTTCCTTGTGATCCAGAATTAGGATAATATTCTTTAGTTATTAATTCTTAAAGATGTTAGGTTAAAGATGATGTTTCAACAAAGGAAATTAAATCAGCTTAACTGAATCTAAGAGAGGGATTTTGGAGACCCTACTTCAATAGTGACTCTATTGATTAATGTATTAATTTACCAAGAAATTGCAACGGAGGTTGGTCTCAAGGAGATAATTCGTGCTCTAATGGACATATTGGTGCTTTATGTGAAGAATGTGATATATATGACATTAGAGGATCTGGACATTTTTCAAAAAGTGTTTAATATTCTTGTAGTTCTTGTCTAAATAATTCTAAAAACATTGTCATAATCATATTAGTCAGCATTTGGTATTTAGTTTATAATATTTAAGGACATTAATATCTATTTTCATATCTGTGAAGAGTACTGTAGCATTGCTTAATTAAATAGCAATTTAAATATAAATGACAAAATTAAGGTTCATTAAAAATTCAATATAGTCTTAATCTGCTATTCTTATAAAGATGCTTACTAATCATCTTCAAATACTGACAGCAATAACTACTTTTAAAATAAATCTCTCAACTGGTTTAACTAACGCCTTAAATGCAATAGGCAACCCAATACAAACTATGGCATATTCATTAGATTGCTTCTTAATTTATATGTTTTCTATGGAAATTCATTACGCTAGAATAATATGGCAATTAATTATGCCTTTCATATACATTTTTCTATTTTTAGGTATATATTACATTACGGTAAAATGTGGTGCAATTAAATACAGTTTGAGTGTTATTACTACTACATTTATATACATTTACATATATATTCAACCAAACTTGGTAGGGGGTTTGATATCTTTATTATCCTTTAGATAAATATCTGGATATTAATGGATTCAAGCTAATGTAGCTTATAGATATGATACATCCCAGCATATTATTTGGCTGCTAGCTTTTTGCTTGCCTGGGTTATTTTTATTTGCTCTTCTCATACCATCTCTATTTTTCATAGCATTATACATTAAAAGAGATGTTTTGAATGAGAAAAAAATTAGACAACAATTTGGATATTTATATAATGAATATAAAACAGGCGCTTTTTTTTGGGAAATTGTTAAAATTGTAGAAAAAGAATTGCTTATTATCTTTCTATCATATTATGACGACAATATCATTCAGAAAGGTACTCTTGTGTTACTTGTTGTTTATTTATATTCAGAATTAAATCATAGATTTAAACCTTATAATATGAGTACTCTTAATAATTTAGATGCCCTTTCAGCTAAAGTTTGCTAAATTTCAATTATATTGGGATTTGGGATATATATCGATGAACTTTATGGCAATTTTGAAATTCAAATACCTTATTTCATAATATTGGCTATGCTCAACTTATTTTATTTTATGTTGCTTTTTAATGAAATATTAAAATCTTATTATTTAGAATTGGAAGGCAAATTTGATAAAGTGAGGGACAAGTTATCTGTAATCGCTCCTTGGGCTGTGAAACATCCATATTTCAGAAAGTACCTAGAAAATAGCACTCAAAGAAGAAAACGAATCTAAAATTAGTACCAAAAGATTAAGAAATATTTATTTAGTTATGCCAAACCCATTAAAGAGTTGAAAGAGAATCTTAATTCCCTTTCAACTCAAATTAGACCTACAAATTCCAATCCATAAATATTACTAAATTAAGAATAAGTAAAGAAGCTACCAAGTAAATTTGAGTTTTTGAATGACAATTATTAAAGTAGAGCAAGCATAGTCATCAGTTCATTTTGATTATATAATAGATTTAAAATTAATTATTTTCTTGATAAAATCTTCAAAATTATAAACGAATCTTACTTGCAGAAATAATACTTATATATATGAATAAACCATAAACAGAATATAGATCTATAAATGAAAAAATTTAATTTATAGAAGTTGTTAAAATACCATTAATATATTTTTTGAGTGTGATATAGAATTAGAAAATTTTGGATGTAACAAAATGAAAGAATTTAAAAGTAGACTAAAAGTTAGAATTAATATTTTAAATGAAGAAAGTTAGATAATGTTAATGTTTTTTCAGCTGAATTTTCAAAAAAACTAAGTAAGAAAACAAGAGTTGAGGGTGAAAATGGATTTTTGTTAATCTAGTAATTCTATTATTTTAAGGGTCACTGAAAGAAATCAACTATTTAAAGTCATTTTAGCAAAAAATATAAATTCATTTTCTTTCTATTTCTATAATATTTTAATACAGCAAAGATATTATCTGAAATTTACAATAAATTAATTGAACTTATCAAAACGAGAGGACAAATTTTTCAGTTTAACAATATTTTTACTTTCATGTAGAGGACTTTAACTAAATGCTCTTTATTATGTTTTTAAAGTCGCCATAACAAACTTTTTTAGATAAAGAATTATGATATATTATAATTATACAAGCTAGATAAATAATACAATGCCTATATTTAATTAAATTAATAATTTATAAATTCATCTGATTTAGAGTTATTCATAAATTTTATTTATTCTACTATGATGCAGAAAGAAATAAATGAAATGGTTTATTGGAATATACTCATTATTCTTAACACTGTTAAAGTAAGTTTTATATAAAACTATTCTTATATAAATTGAGATCGGATCAACTATGAAAAATACTAAAAATAAAGTGCTTAATAGATTTAAAGTTATTTAAACATCCATGTCAGTCTTATTTAATTCACTAATATGAGATGATAATATACATTTAATTTAATACAATAATAGTAAGGAATAAATACAAAACAGGAAGGCAAAAATACAGTAGTACCATTGCTATTGCAATTTTGCCTCCTAACTAATAAATAGCTTAAATTATCTTTGAAATCGCTCTAACGCCTAATAAAATAAGAAGGTTAATTTGGGCATTAATTATTAATAAATTGGAGGCCAGGACTTCCCAAATAGATATTAATATTAAAATGCTTAATTAATTACTAAACAATAAAAATCTAAAGCTTTTTTTCACATTGCTTTCTTCATCTTAAAAAAATTGCAATATTGAATGGATATGCTTTTTTATAATTAAGTAATTTACTTTGAAAGCTGCTTTAAACATAAAGATATGACCTGGATAAAATTTTCTGCCAAATACCTTCTAACCCCGCTCTAGGGTATCTTACCTTTCGCTTTAACTTTGTTCTAAGTCAATATCCTTTTAATTGTTATAATCTTTATATAATAGGAAAAAATAAACAAAAAAGGATGATAAAATAACTCCGCTCTAGACAAATAGAAAAGCTTAGTCAATTAATTTAATTGATGAAAAATCAAATTACAATTAATTTGCTACCGTAGTACTATTTTATGTTACTGTTTTATGAGCACTTTTTATCAAAAATAAATTTCCTATTGATTTACATATACAAACTAGTTGTGCTCTTTGATTATTAACTTCTTACATTTCTAAATGACAATTTTCAAACTTATTTTCCATTATATAATTTATACACTAATAATTATATTCAACAACTGTAGAAAACTGGTTTAAAGGATCACAATATTATAATTCTGTCAAGTCAATTCCATAATAACCACTTAATTCTTGCTGATTCATTTAGGGATTAGTATAAAGAAAATTAGTTAAAATAGTTTTGACGTAATGATTTTAATCTATCTCAAAATCTGATCTATTTAAATAAATTTGTAGCATAGTTCTGTAAGTTTATGATAGATTATAGTAATTGTAATAAACTATGAGTTATTATTTCTAAATGAATGTAATTAAATTATCTAGGTAATCATCATGTATTTAAAAATTTAAATTATGCTTCGACTTTGTAAGCTTTTACAATTAGAATTTCAAAATTTATCCTTGAATCAACAAAACCTAACCATTCACTTATACACTGTCACTAATATGAATTGTAATATTATCAATTAATATAATTAATTTCTCAGATATAATTGCTACTTGCTCTTAGTTCTCCGCAGAAGTTTCATTCAAAGAAATAATTAACAATTAATTATCTATCAAATGTACTGAAATTGATAGCATCTAGACTATATTTTTAATTTACATAATAGACTCAGTATTAACAATTATATTATTTTAGGCATTTTATTTTTCCATATTTACCTTTAACTTTATTAAATTTGTTATTTATTTTTCAATCTTTTAGGAAGATATTGCCAAAGATGAAATATTAGTGCTGTTTTTTTAGAAGTGTTCTTAATTAGTATTAATAAAGAGAGATGACTTATTGTTGTAACATTCATTTTGCTAATTTTATTCTAAATATCTCTTTGAAGTTTTTGAAGCCTATGATTTCAAAATTAATTTTTTGTATAGATTAATTGTTTGATGGGCTAATAATTTTTCATAAATATCTTTAGAGTTTATTCCTAATTCAATATATTTTAATAATTCATCCTTCAATTTGATGCAATTTAATTCATCTTAACGATTAATCATTATTTCAAATATCCATGCAATTTTTTCCCTTAATATTAATTGTTCTATAGTTTAATTTGTACAATCAATTTGATTCTGTGAGATATTTTAGTACTAATGAATATTTGTTATCGAGCCTCTTTAATCTAAGATCTATAATATTACATTTATTTCTGCATTAGGAAAATATCCTACTAAATTATTAGATTTCTAAAAACCGTAGAAAAGTAGGGAATTATCTGAAGATTTATTTTGAAACTCTTCAAAATCATCTTTAAATAAAAACACCTTCATTTAATAAAGATAAGGTTTATCTTCAGATTATTCACAATTAATTGCCATTTTATGATTCTCTAAAGCTTTGATATTCCATTCTAGCATTCGAAGTCTACAAATTGGAGGTTAATTTAAAATTAGGCCTAAGTCTGCTTAGACAGGAATGTTATCATTAGTATATTAGGCTAAAAACTTAAGGTTAAATTTATCTCCTTTGTTAAATTATTAATAATGATCATATAATTAAAAGGAATATTTATAATATTAGGGCCTAAGTATTGTAACTAATTAAAAATCATAAATTATTGCGACTTAATAATCTAAAAGGTATTATCTATTCTAAAGCGGTATATTAAATGTAAATTTTAAATCTTCATAGTTATTAACAGGCCTTACTAAATATCCATTATTATAATCGATATCTAGGGTTTTAAAATCAACTTCTAAATATACAATAGTTATTTTATAAGTGTATGATAATGAATTCTTCGTTGCAATTACAATCCACGCTTAAATTGTGTATGGCTAAAAGGTAGCTTCAGGAAAAACCTAACTTGGTTAAGTAGAATTAATTGATATTTTTTACTATTTAGAATCCTTACATTCGCCTTGTGAATTTAGATCTAAACAACTGATGGCTATCGACAAATTTGGATCTTCATTCCAATTCTATTCAACATCGAGATCTTTGCATTAGACATAAATATATGTAACATCGAAATATTTTTGCAATTTCTTTGTTCCATTAAATTGACAGACAATTCCCGCTGATTTAATCTAAATTGTTACATTTTTTAGGAATAATATTAAATTGAAGGATCTGAAATAATTAGTTAAAATGTATAAGCTGTCCAAGTACTTAAAGAGTAGCTTTGAATATTAAATTCCAATAGGTTAGAATTAACTAATTCAGTATAATTGATATTTGAAGGCCTAGATTTAGAGTTATTTCTCCAGACTTCATAAAATTTAGTTTAATATTGAGAAATATCATTTGATACTGTTGAATTTTCTATGCAACTTTTCTTCTTTAAAGTGAAAGCTAGATTTATAGATTCAAATGTATAATATTACTGTTTAAGATTAGATAAAATACTAGGAAATTATCCTGCATGTGTTTGAATTAATATTTTATAAACTGTTTTCTTTAAAACAAAGTTTTGAACTTCCAAAAATAAAGTTACATTAGATTGGATTGGTAATGTTTTTTCTGGGATTGTTAAATCCAATTATTATAAATTTGTTAATTCAGTAACGAAATTTTCAAGTTCACCATTCCCATTTTACCCCTACACAACAAATGACCATGACAAGGAAATAAAACTTCGTAAACCATCATATAGTTTTTATTCAATCAAAAAAATGTTCTCATCACAAGGATTAAATAAGTAAGTAGGTACATCATATTTGATAACAGGAGCGAATGGGTTCGAAGGTTTTTCAAGTTTATTTATGAAAGAAATACAATAGTTTATTATTACAATTTTTGTGACCAAATGAACCTGGCAAAAAATCAATATTGTCTCCTGGAATAATTGTGGGATTGCGACCGAGATTCAAAATTAATTGTTGTTAATTATCTGGATCTAGTTTACACGTTGGGTTTATTCCTAATTTAGAAAGAGTAGTCTATGTTAGGATATTAAAGCAAGCATTGATATCAAGTTAAATTGAAAAGAAATTTGGATTGAGAGGGAAATCAAATAAGACAATAATTGCTGTCAGATCATCTGATAATTTAATCTTCATTACAGCTACTTCGCAATCTTTGATATTATGAAGATTATACTTGAACACCAAGGAGTTAAAAGCGAGCTAACTGAATCTGGAGGTGGATCGCAAGTCATTTGATTAGATAAAATTCGATTGCCATTGCATGTTAAACATGCATACAAAGAGCATGTTTTACAAGTGTAATCACATTTCAAACAATTTACACTTTAAAAATCATCATAAAATCCATCCTAACATCGACAGAATGGAGTTTCAAATCTATCACCTTTACAAGCTAAACAATTAGCTGAATATTTTAGGCATTTTTTACACTAAAAGTCACATTCTTACAATATTATTTCAATATATACAAATGCATAATACTTGGCCACCTTCAAAATATCCTTCTTCGCAATCACACGATTTGTTTATACGACCTTCCTTACACGTCAAGCAATTCGAGGGTACTGTTTAGCAAGTATCGCATTAAAATTCGCAAGCTTAGTAAATAATAATAATATCTACCTTCACAAACCAGCTATGATGTTTCAAAGTAGCCATCCACACATGAGCAATCAGGTGGATTTATTCTTAAATTACTGAAGCATTTCAGACAATTTTTTGCATCTTTTTCACAAGTTTTGCAAAGATATTCACATTTTTTACAAATAATTTGAACATCATCATCATAATATCCATCTTTACAATTACACTAATTTGATATTGTTAATCTATTGGAACCTTAGATATATTTGCAGCTTTAGCAGTTATTTCTTTCATTAACACATCCAGAACATTTAATATGGCATTCTGAGTAATACGAAAATAATTACTTTAGCAAATTTCATCAGAATCCTGATAAAAATCAGAAAGGCAAGGACATTTGTGAATAATAGATTAATCTAATCTATTTTAATTAATATCACAACTAGTGCAATAATCTTTTTGATTTTTACAAGTTAAACAAGAATTTGAGCATTCTAATTAAATTTTTGATTAATACTTTCGCATATTAATGACCCATTATCAAAATATCCAGGAATGCAAGTACAAACATTTTGATTTGCTGAGCGAAGATGATTTGGGAAACAAGATTAACATTTTGTTGAACTTATTTAGCAAGTTTTACAAAACTCACTGCATTTTTGGCACATTTCAATTCCAACATCATAATACCCATCCAAACAGGGGCAGGAATTCATTTAAAAATATCTAAAATTAGACGTATCACAAGTTAGACATTTATTTGACTAAATCTAACATGTTTTACAACTACTTTGACATTCTATAATTTTAATACTTATTACTTAAACATGAAATTTAATTGACTTCATAAAAGCCATCCTTGCAAACGCATTATGATGTATCACTATCAAAATATCTAGTTATTAATTCACAGGCTAAACATTAAGTTTAAGTTTAGCATTCAGTGCAACTAAAGTGGCAAACTTAGATTAAATATCAATATTACCTTAACATTATTCGGCTATGAGATTAAAAAAGTAGCCTGATTTGCAAACGCATAGATTTTACTAATTCAGTTCTAGGTTCAGATTTGAATCACATTGTAAACAATTTGAAGAATTTCCAAAGCAAGCTAAGCACGTTTTATCGCATTACAAACAAGAGTTGTTTGCTAAATCTTCATAATATCCATCCATACAAATGCAAGTGTGATTTTTATTATTTAGAATTCTATTTTTATCTAAAGAACAGCTCAAGCAAAATGAGTCTTGTCCACCACAAGTTTCACAAGTAGAGTTACAATTATAGCATTTATTATCAACATTCGACAAATATGTTCCGTCTATACAAACGCATTTTGAATTAATTAGCATTTTCGATAGAACGCATGATGTACAATTTGTAATACTATTTGAGCAAGTCTAACAATTGATATTACAGTATTAACATAATCCATCTATTTCAGTTGTGCCAGGTTAACAATAACAAGTATTATTATTTGTGTTCAAAATCCTTAAGCTATTTGAATCACACTCCGTACATAATTTTGAATTGTAATTGCAATTGTAACAATTTGAATCACATTTACTGCAATTACTTAGACCACTATCATAATAACCAGGATCACATAAGCATTGATTTTGATATAATTATCTTGTTTATACACAAGATGTGCATTAAGTTTATGAAGTAATGCAGCTTAAACATTTATAAAAGCATTTTTAACAAATTGAAGAAAACCCATCTTCATAATATCCAAAGAGGCATTCACAGGCTTTTCCATTAAATATTCTAAATGACGTTGTTTATGGTTAGCAGCTTAAACATTAATCAGCGCCAAAAGCATTACATAGCAGACAAGAATAGTGGCATTATTGACAAATAGGAATTCCAGAGTCATAATAATGATCATTACAAAGGCAAGATTATAATAAAGGATTGTAAGTTCGATATGAATTAACTTAACATGAATCACATCTGGTCGAAGTTATAATACAGGTCAAACAAGAGTAGTGGCATTCTAATGCTATGATAAAATACTACTTTAACAAACAATATTAACTCCATCATCATAATATTAACTAGGGCAATCACAAGAAGAGCTTAAAGGATTAAATATCCTTAAGCTTGAAGATGGGCAAGATTTACATAGTGAAGGTAATATTGTACATCCTTAACATCGATAATCACATTCTTAATAAGATGAAAGTATAAATTACTTTTACAATTAGGGACACTGATATCAAAGGTATTTTCTGCACATACACAACTTGTAGCAACTAAAATTCTTGATTCTGAGTTCAAACAAGACGAACATTAATTCACTAATGGACCACTACAAGATAGACAACTATAATGGCAACCTGATTATAAATTACTTATTTACTTTAACAACGGTTTTGTTATTGGCTCTAAATATGTAGTTAGGTAGTTGCCTTAAAGTTTTGTTTTGCATAAACAACTGTTTCCGAAGTTAATATCTATCTGAATTACAAGATGTACAATTTGTAGAAGTAGTAGTGCATTCTAAGCAACTACTGCTACAAACTATTACTATATTGATTAGTATATACTTTAGCATTCTTGTAATCCTATATCAAAGTATGATTTTGGGCATTCGCATTCACCATTGGAGTTTAATTTCATTTTGCTTAGAGGAAGCACAAGATGTACATTAATTACTTTATGACCCTTGACAGGTTTAACAAGTACTATGACACTCTAAAATATAATGTAAAATATACTTATGCAAATGGGATTGCCAGGTTAATCATAATAATAAGCTGGACATTAACATGAATTATCAGTCCCTAAGGTACGTTCCGATAAATCAGGACATGTTGTGCAATTTTCAGGCTTCACAGAACAAGAGGAACAACGATATGAACAATCTAAGTTAAGATGGAAATTTGACTTTAACACATTGAGTCTGCATTTTATTATTACATTGTATTATTCATGCAGATACATTTGTTTGCTTTCATAACTCTATTTTTTTCTGAAGAGCAAGTGATACAACTATCTTCATCCAAAGAAAAACATGTTAAACAGGTATAATGACACTCTAAAAGTAAGTATTAATAATTACACGAACACTAAAGACTGCCTGTGCTGTAAAACCCAGGTTAGCAATCACATTTCGAAATAACCAATTCCCTATTAGTAGTAGTATCGCAAGATAGACAATTTGTTTCATAACTGCCATTACAAGTTTTGCATGTTAGATGGCATGGTTAACATTCTAATAGGGTTTGATCACTATAATAATGTGGATCTTTGCAAAGACATTAGAAGGTAGTTCCAACTTAATCAGCTTACCTTGTAGGAGGACATGAAGTGCATTTATCTTAACCTTAAACATTGCAATTAGAACAAGAATGATGACAAGATACTAATATAGAAAAATACAGATTACAATAACAAAATGGATCCTAGAAACCAGGATCATAATAGGCTTAGGTGCAAGCACATTTATTGTCGTTTGTCAAATATCTATGGGCAACGGAGGAACAGTTTAGACAATCAATTTCAAGAGGTCCTTTACAACTCTTACATGTATAGTGGCACTCTATTTTTAACTTTCAAATTAGGTACTAATGCAAATATCTTAGATTCCATCACTTCCATATCCATCTGAACAAACACATTTGTAATCTATAGATAATACTCTATTTTGGCTCGGGATGCACATAGTACAATATTGATTTGTTGAAGCATCATATGGCTAAGAACATTTTTAGCATCTAGGATGACAAGCTGATTTGATATTAATATCATTACATATGCAAATGCTATTTCCATCAGATAGAATTTTCAACTATTTTCCTTCTTCACAAAAACATGACCCATTATCAAAGAATTTAAAATAGATACTAGGATCTCCACATTCTGTACAATCATTATTATAAGGTCCTTTACAATTATAGCAATTGGCATAGCATTCTAATTTAGATTTAAACATACTTTAACATATGTAATTTCCCAAACCAGTCTCATAATATCCTTGTTTACAAATGCATTGAGCATTCAATAGGATTCTATTTGTTATCGTCTTACAAGATAGGCATTCATAATAATCTTTACCGCAAGTATCGCATTACCCACTTTTACAAAATGCGCATTCACCATCCTTATCGAAGTAGCCTCTTTGTTAATCACAAACACATTTTCCAGGGGTAACTTTTGAAGTCTGAAATTTTTCTTACAAATAGCATGTTGTACAGTAACTAGGATCACTATAAAGGCAGGTTTAACAGTTTGAAGAGCAACTAGACAATAGAGATGTCGTGCATTTCTTATCAGCAGTTAATACGGATATTCCCACACAAATCTTGCATTCTGTAGCATTAAAACAAATAAGACATCTTTCCAAACCAGGCTGTAATTTACAGACTTAAAATCATTAAATTATATATTACGAGTGCATTTTTGTTGACTTGGATTATAAAAATATCCGAAGTCGCATACTTAGCAAGTTATTCCAACAGCTAATCCAGTATTGGGATCATAATTATAATCAAATCTAGTGCAATTTATATCTCCAAAGCATTAACCGTCTTTTAAAAAATACTGAAACTGGCATGCAGTACAAACGCCAGTAACACATTAAGCACATTTAAACGAACATGCTTCAATATTTGAGATTTTTTATACCAACGCATTAATTGTCAACCAGTTCATAACCTTTTCTGCACCCTTAAAATGAGTATACACCATTATCATTTGAACAACTCAAATGTGTTGCTTAGCAGGCTAGTATATCTAAAATACATTTACCTAAACTACAACTTAAATCTGTACTATTAGAGGAAGAAAACCCTTCCTTACATGTTGCACAAAAACTTGATCCGCAACTCGCACAATTCTTTCCACAACCTAAATAATGATTTAAAGTACTAAATGATTACGAACATTCTTCACCTTCACAATATTAGCATTTAATAATGTCTCCAGACTTTTAAGCTATTAAGCACTCGTTAGAGACAAATTAACATGAAAGGACTAAATCGGTATTCTCTTCATATTCATAAATTAAAGTTTTGTCCGTACAGAATATCATAATTGCACCAGCTACATAGGGATGTGTTTGCGTAGATATTCTCTTCCACCATATTCGATCATTTGCACTTCTGTAACGGTTTCACAAACATTAGAATAGTCTAAATCCAAATTTTTAAATTACAAACACAAGGATGAGGATGCATTCCAGGTGCATGACGATGTCCTCCATTACATTAAAACTAGTAACCAATCCTATCATTATAATCAGCAATATTCCTAAATCCATCAGCAAGTTAGAGTATCAATAAAAAAAACAGAATATCCTGACTAATCATAATTAATATTAAAGACTTTTAATTTATTTTTAGGTTAACTACTCAACCTTGTAACATCAATAATCTTAAAACGTGTTAATATTTTAAATTTAGAGGAAGTTGTAAATTGCATGGCTAATTATCAAAGCATCTTGTTTCATCAAAAAGAGATAGAAGAACTTTCTGCAATTACTTTAAAAACGATTTTAAATATTTTTTGTAATAATTAATTATTAAAGGGTGGTGCTAACTATATTTAAAAAATTTTTTGTTTATAAACACATCTACTTAACGTTAAACGATTTTTTTGGGGTTTAATTATGAGGGTTTGGATGACTGTTTCTATAGGATGTAACAGTATGGTCTGGGCCTAAAATTTACAAATTTGAAGAACCCCTATTTTGGAAACCCTATTTGGCGATGAAATAGGAGATGAAATTGGTGATGAAATTGGTGATGAAATTGGTGATGAGATTGATGAACCAAAACAAAGTTTTTTTTAATTATTAATGTTGATGGATTCCATCAAATGGAAACACTAATGTATAATTATATGTATAGCATGCTCAAATGAGATGGATTCTTTATGCAGTAGCTGCATATTTTTTTCTATATGATTTCTTCGATGATACACTAAATTTGATAATTGAGTTTCCAAATCTATGGATCACTCTCCTAATGGTTACCTATTTATAAATATCTGAGCATCTATCCAAGAACTCCTGTCAAAAATACCGACATGTTGACTACTTAGATGCTAAGTTCACAATTAATGTGTTAAATATCATACTTTGTGCAATTCAGCAACCAACCTTGCAGATAGTGGCTATACTTTTTGTTAATCTATTAGTAACACCTTTATATTTATTGAATCTTGAGATAATCTAAAGTATCTTATATTAATTATAAATCACTAATAAAATTCAAACCAGTGTTTAAATACTTCAAGCATTATGGGAAAGCAGACCACGATTTGATGATGTTGCCTCTCCTGCTACTTAAATAAATATACCAGAAATGAAATGACTTGATCACCATGTGATGATAGTTCTTTTGGAGCATATTGTTTATTTTCTTGCTCTATTTGTGTTAAATTTGCTACGATTGAAGAGATATGTTGATTTTTTGCCTTCCCTATTTGTGAGTAAAGCTGGTACAACTCAATTATAGTTTTATGCTAATGTTTATTCATTGAGCCAGGCAGGAAATTTTTGGTGATGAAATTAATACAGTGCTAAATTTCATCTTCATATTTATTATTATGTTGATAAAAAGCCTTTATTGTATAAACTTACAACTTTTATAATAATTGTAATGCACATAAAGTGCATATTAGGAGTTTTTTAGAAATTCATTATTTTATGATACTGAATATCATAATGCTTGTGTGTGTTTCTAACTATTTAAATTATTATTTTGAAAATGCCATTTCAAGCATTTATATTCCAATTCTTATACTACTGCAACTCATTTAAAAGATTATGATACTTGATCATTTTTAAATTATTAGGATATTACCTGCTTTTCTCAAGTATATTTGCAGCTTGTGCAAGTATAATTTTTATTCTAATAAAAGAAGATATTTCTTGGTTAGTTATTTTGATTCTGTTATCTTCTTATGCTATCGTAGCTGATGAATGTAGCAGCATTTCACTATGGAGAATGGTACTCAACTTAAATTGCAAAGCCATTTGTTAAAATATTAGAATAATATAAACCGAATGAACAACTGTCAAATTCTGATTTCTGTACATTAAAGTTATAAAATTTAACACATTTCATGATTAGTATTCAACTGTTGCATATGAACCTGTCGCAAATACTCATTTTGATCGTTGCATAATAGGTTAGCTTCCTCCAAATTAATGCTGCATAATGTTCTTGGTGTTTATAAATAGAAGAGCGGATCCAGTGCTATTTGTGATTGTCATAATGTGGTATGTGAGATGATCAAAACAATTTTTCAGGTTGTGCAGTTTGATACTCCCTCAAGTCTTGAGATGGTTGTATGCTCAACTCCTTGCCTTACATCTTTAACTTTTGAAAATGTCATATGTAATTTAGAAGTGGTACTAAGCAATCTATTCTAATCCTTACCCTGTGTATATTATTATTGGAGCTCACCGTACCTCACCTTGTGATGATGGATTCCACAGTTGGATATACCTATCATATGTATATTGGTATATAAACTTCCTCAACTTTGCAAATTAGATTTATCAAAAATACTTTGTTGCCAGAGTATTAAAGTGATGAATCTTAATGTTAAACGATTTTACTAAGTTTGCATTCTTCAACGATGAAATTAAATTTGATAATAATAATTTGCCATTCCATTGGTGAATATTCTGCTTCTGTTTGTACAAGTATCTCTTAAAAGATTATATAAGCTACTTTAATTTGCTAATATTCTGACCTATGAATTTTAGTTTTTCCTATTTAGATTGAACTAAGAAGTGGTTGTAGTTGAGTATCAAACTTAAAGATGGAAATAAGAGAACTTTTCAGAGGATAGCAAATAATAATCTCTAAATTTAAAATCAGATTTAAAATTAAACTGTCAAATTTAGTTTGAGTGAAATAGATTATGATAGTATCTTTTATTTTATAAAATTAATAAAATTATAACAATAATTAAATAAGCTTAAATTGAAAATGATTTTAATTGAGAAACATATACAACTAACATTTTAAACTAGTTTAAGCTTTCATTTCAATTTAGTTTATTGAAAGCCTTTAATTTAAATTAAATAAGTACATAATATAAATCATATACTCAAAACTGGTATTAAACTACTAGAGTTAAATATAGTATTAATTTGACAACCTCATAATGTATAACATCCATTGAAATGAATCCATCATCATCACTCAGAAGGTAAGCAACTTTTGAGTTATAAAAGCTGTAGAAGTAGCACCAGTAATAGAAGAAATTTAATTTGAGGTTGCGATACCCATCGAACTAATTTGTCTTATTGGATAAAAATTTAAAGTTAGACAAATGTTGAGCAATCAATAATATTCACCCAAACAAGGTGTTCAAGTATTTTTTTTGCTCCACTTTATATTAATAAGGAAATTATTATAAAAGGAATAATAACTTTTTATTAAAATATTACTCTGACTACCCCTTATTCCATAATCATAGTTTCCTAATTGAGTCGTTTTTATATCAGACTCACTCAATCTAGAATATACTTTATTCATACTTTATTCATACTTTTCTTTAGTTGGATTGAGCATTTCCATATTTCTGAGTCAATAGATTCATTTTTAACGAATATTATAAACTAGGCTTGACTTTCATTCGTTAATTATGAGTTCAGTTTATAAATACTGGATTAGAATTTGGTTAATTTGTTAATACAAATATTGAAAAGTGATCTCAAATAATTGCTATCCTAAAAAAACTGAAATCTCAAGATAATAGGCTTGATTTAAGAATTTGAAAAATATATTAAGAGATTTAGTCTATCTATTATCGCAATAACTATAACCTTTCCCTTAAAACTTATAATCAATTTCAATCTAACAATTCTAACCAACAATCTCCAAAGAATAAAACTTATAAATTGTGGTATTAGAATCCTAATATCATTAATGAATGTAGAGGAACATCATTATCTTATGATTGCTATAGTTTGTTCCACTACCGCCTTAATTTGATCCTTAAATAGAAGATAAATACCAAGACTGAGTGCAATAATCATAATGATGTAATAATGCTCCTTAGTTGGCCAATTATCTTTCTTAAGATTTTTAAAATAAATAAAAATAGGAATAGTCTAACCTTTTTCATTCGATATCAATACTTACATTGTAATAAGGTAGCAGCTTACAAGAATTAGATACATTTATTTTGATGTATTTAAAATTTCACTATCGAAAGATTTTAGATATTGAAATGAAAAGACTTGTTAGAATTGTCAGTTAAAGTTAATTCAATATGCAAATAAACATTTTAATGGAATTGGAATCTGGATTTTGTGTAAATGAGATTGAGAGATTGAGAAATTGGATTTAAAATGATGTATAGATATATGAAGAAGCGATTTGAGAATTTGAATAATTAAGTTTGATATTGAGTAGATATAGAGAAGATGAACGAATTAAAATTCATATTTATAATTGGGGGAGCTAAACTTTCAATTCTTTATTTGATTATTTTAAATATACTTATTTATTAATTTTTGGAAGATATATTATAAAGTAACAAAAAAGTATCTTGATAGTTCTATGGATTCATGTTACTCATTTTTATAAAGATGTTGTCAACCCATTAAATTTATGAAATTTCTTATTAGTTAATACCATGGCTATTGTAATGCATGCTTAAGACTTCTATCTATAGAGTATAAAGAATTCACTTTTAGGATGGTTATCTGGATAGTATTCTGATTCAACTAATATTTCTAAATAAATTGCAACGACTAGAAACAACTTGCAACGTTTGAAATTAAGCAGTTGAATTTACTGATTACTGTAAGGCTTGCTTGTTTTACAAATTTATAATTAATGTTAAGCCTGCTATGAAGTTTCCTGAAACAAAATTTCAGACTAATTTATTAATTAGCACTTCGGTTCGGAACATCGATTACTTTGTGCTACCTACTGGGTTAACAATTTTCATACTTTTATCTCTCAATTTTATATGCAAGATAATATTTTAATGCTTATGCTCCGCAATTTAATAATTATTCTATATGGCTACTTGTTAAGTTTATATACATGATTGCTAAGCTGTGAATTAAAATTCCTGATTTCAGAAGTTGGTCAAAAGTAGCCGCTTAGGCAAGATTCTCATTTGATGGAATCAGTTAGATAAGATTTGCAACACAGTTACTAAATTAAGTAGCGCATATGTGAATTTTTACATAATCGCCATATAATAAAATTTTATCATATGCCATTATTTTCCCAGTTATAAAAATTGCACTTACAACTTGAGATGCACAAGCTGCTCATTTATCTGAGCAAAATGTAAATAAGATTGCTACACACTAGCTTTGTAACAAATAAAG